AATGCGGTTCCGACAGCAGCTCGAGTGAAAAGGCTGGGGTTAGCATCTGATGACCATCTCCGTCCACACTCCAAACATGCACCTGGTTCGTCCTTCTCGTTTCGTCCTCGTTCATTCATTCTTGAACATTTTCTGGTACATCTAGAACTCGATGTTGAACGAGCGGCCTCTGTCGGGATCGAACGGACCGACTAGGCCGTTAAGTGCGTCAAAAATTGCGTACTTGTCCTTGACGGCAAGAGTACCGCCGACAGCTGATATCCTCTCCATGACATGACGATTAAAGCTTTTTGCTGCTACATTTGTGCGAATCGAGGTCAAACTGACTTGAAGAAGAGCTGGTAGAGGGCTTATTCCTTGGAGTCCTTCGACTCCTGGTCGCCAGCGCCATCCCTCTGGAATGCTGTAGACGAACAGGAATACAGCTTTATCGCTGAGGTATTGTGGAATGATTACCACAGTAAGTGCCCATCTTTGTACTGGCTGAAATGGGTACTGCTGATCAGGGGATCATAGGCTGAACTAAACTTCAACGATACATAAGACGGTAGCAAAGCGTTACCTTAGTGACCACCAGGAAGAGATTATAGAATGCAAACAGCAGGTTCAGCACACTGAATATACAAGCAAATATAGTCGCGAAAAGGAAAAGCCTGGAAAGGAAGAGCTATTTGCTGAGGCAAAACAGTGGAATTCATGTTTTATGCCTTGAGAGCTGCTCTCCTGTATCTGCCCCTCTCCAGCAAGGGCTACGCTACGTCATGTCTGCTCGCTTGCATCCTCTCACCGAAAAACCACAACATGTTCTTATTAGCCTAAGCAATGTCGCGACATGTCACCCTTTCGTTGTTCTTATGTCGGTAGTAGGACGTCATTTTGCATAACGTAGTCACTCCTTGCAAGACAGTAAGTGGCTCGTCCCGGAGCATCAAGAGCCAAAATTTGTAGTGAAAACTCACAAGGACTGATTGTTGACCATATTCTGGAGTGTTCCCCATTGACCCTGAAAGCATGAGTTGTTACACAGAACAGAGAGCGAAGGAACTTGAAATTTAAAAGCGTTCTTTCGCAAAAAACGTAGTGAAGACAACCAACCATGCTTGAAGTGAAATCTAGAGACGACTGAGGACTCAATTCATCCATCGGAGAACTGCAGTATCATGGATATGTGATATCTCGGCAGATTTCGCATGTTGTGGTTGTGATCTATACACTTTTTGCTCACTTAGAGAATGATGAGAGTCGGTGCTGCTGCTGTGAGCCAGTTCCGAATAAATGAGCCTCAGTGCAACGATTTCCTAAAACAGAGTGTGAACTATACCCTTGCCTAAATGTTGTCTGTGCATGCGGCTGTTCCCGCAAGGAAGAGCAGGCGCGAGTGCTGACTTGATATCATGCAGGGCGAAAAAACTGAAGACTTTTTTGGTGCCACTAGCAAGGGCAAATCGGCAATCGCGAGTTCTTCGCTGGGAATTCAGGCCTCGAAGGGCACGGATTTGGACCTCGGAGGGCACATTGATCAACAGCATTTTTCAAATTTCACACGTCTTTTTGGATGGTGCCAAGTTGTTTTCTCCTTAAAATGAGTATCCATTTTTCACAGTCCCTCATCATTACGGAACTGTCGGGGCGGGCCCAAGCCGCGCTGCAAATGGACGCGACACGCGTGCGCTCGTGAACGGCGACCTCAGCTTGATTTCTTTGTGATCCGGCTGAGCATTCCCCACTTTTTCAACTCTTCGAGCTTCGAAAGTGGAAGGTGAGTTATTTTGAGCAATTTTAAATTGTACTGACTCTGAATGAATCTGAAAGAATGCAAGCCATTTGAATAAATGCCTGAAATAAGGCAAAATACAAGGAAAAGAGCATATATCGACATAAAAATAAAGGAAATCAGAGCCAGTACAGCTCAGAATTGTACAGAATAACTCACCTTTTACTTTCGAAGCTTGAAGAGCTGAAAAAGTGGGAATTTGCAGCCGAATTCCATCAAAAATCAGCTGATTCACCGTCACCGAGCCGCAGCCGCTGTCGCGTCACAGTGCAGCGCGGCTGTGCCGCCGCGGCCGCGGGACTGTAGGAATATCCATGCAAAAGCCTACCTTTTCGTGATGAGGCGTCGACGAACGACTAAAACCCGTTTTCCTTATGAAGAAATTCTGAAATAAAAACAGAACCATGAGAAAGTGGCTATAGACTTCTTTTCACGAAGGTCATCGCTAAAGCTCCCAAACGCCTTAATGTAATTTTTACGGTTTTGTGCTGCTGAGAAGGTAATAGTTAACTATGTTCAAATTTTTCTCACTCTGAAATCCTCCGAAGCTCTACCGATGGTGCTGCGTTTACAGACGATCTTACTCCGTTTACGTAATTCATCCTGCAGAGCCAATTCAATGATGTGGTCCAGGTCCTTGGAGTGCTCTCCGAAGATGTTTCGGCGATACCTCAATAAACACCTTTGCACTTGTTTTATGTTTAGGCTTGTAACTCATTAGAGAGGCAGTCTAAGCCAGCATCTGTCGTTTCGCAGTCGATGTAGGGTGGTGCGGTCTATCTCGTCTAAGTGTGCTCGGAATCGGTAGACTGTTCACCTTCTACACTCTGATTTTCTCTTTCCTTATGCTTACAAGCTCAACTCCAACGTCCAGCGCCAGCTCATTGTTTACTGTTTCCTTACTTTCATGTTCACTTGTAGTTCAGATAATAAAGCTCATAGCAGCCCCAACACGCGTATGGTCAGACCAGCAGCACAGTGCCTTTAGAACACATCCGCGACTACAAGTCCCAATAGTGGGATTAATTCAAGAGGCTAGTGATGCAGATTAAACTAGCTTGTAAAAGAAGGAGGAGGAATGAAATCGGTCGAAAAGCATTCAAAGTAAGCCGGGTAAAGTCAGATCGCTTCCGGCCAGCTTTGGTAAATAGAGAATGAGATAAGCCATTGAAAAGTGAAGTCTCAACCCGCAAATTGTGCCAGACTCTCTAATGTTCATGAGCCGGTCCTCCATGTGGAGAAAGCCGTATGCGCAGCTCACAAGACGCTCGCTCATGGCGTCGAAGCTTGAGATGGGTTAGGTTCCTGCTCAAGAACAGCTCAAGGCGCCCTTCTAGGAGGCGATCAGTTCAAAAGGCTTTCACCCTGTAGAATCGTGATATGTCTGTAAGCTGAATTTCCTTTTGTTTTTCAGCCTTAAGTACTTGAACCATACAGGGGGCGGGCCAAAAAAAGTCACTTCGACCGGGTCACATATCAGCAAAGTTTTCGCAGCGCAGACAGAAGGCGCGGATACGAGTAGGCGAAGATACGCGAAGATGTTCCCTCGATAAGCAGAAGCTGGCTCTCGCCATCACCTCTCATGTAACAACCGAATGTGCAAAGTATCTCTCAGTCGCAGCCTGACTGCAGAAGACCTTTGGAGTTCACGTCACCTGCAAACAGCTGCGAAACTTCTAGTATGGAGTCACCCATGGATAGCTACCTGGAGACCAGTACTCTCTGCATCCTGACAGATCTCCAAAAACAATCAAGCAGCTCCGAAAACGTTCGCCACGTGTCGGACATCATCTTCACCGACAGTCGCCACTGTTGATGATGGACTCGAAAAAAAGTACTTGGAATGGAAGACCGATATTTTCTTCGTGGACCCCGGACTGAAGGTGAGCGCTGGCGGTTACATCGAGCAACTCGAGAAGAATATCCTCCTCACATGTCGTCGCCCGTACCTTCTTGGAAACCTTGTACTGCTACCATCCAAGTAGGTCACTTGACCTGAATCCCCTCATTTACCCAGTTCGGGCGAAGTTCAATAGGGTGGCTACGGTGGCGGAGAAATCGACTATCTCGCTGCCCTCAAGGCACCAAACCAATGACGGTTCGCGTGCGCAGAATATTTCGTATGGCGGCTCGTCCAGAAGCCAGTGCGAAGAGTGATAGTATGTAAGTCTCTTCAATGGTGGTAAAAATGTCCAATCAGGATTCAATAAAGGTAACTTATAGCGCCTCGAAATCAATGAAGGAAAGTGACTTTTTTGGCCCCCCTGTATGTTCGTCTGTAGAAAAACACAGTTTCGAAACATAGTTTTATGACCAACATGAATTCGTTATTCTCTGTGGTATATACCCTCTTCAAAGGCCTCAGGGACTCTGGATTATTGGGGGAATACATCGCAAACGAACCTTATCTTTTTTTTGATATCGGATCCTTTTATCACTCCATTCCATTCATATGCAACCCCATACTTTGTTTGGAAATGTATTGCTATGCCCGATAACATGAACTTACATCCAGATTCGTGGCCACCAACTGTACGAGTTGCTCGACGGTCATGGAGTCTGCTCCGAACCATACAGTCTTCTTACGAATTGCAATCTTTCGTCTTTGAAATAGACATTAGATGACCATCACTGCTCGTCCAATTGGTATAAGAGTTTACGCTGCCATGTAAGTGGAATCATTCGCATGTTGTAAACCATGGAATTGACGAAACATTGATCATAATATAATACCGAATTACAAGATAAAGATCAGATCAAGTGTCAAAGTCGTTTCGGCTGACAATAATGTCACGAAAACCGATGGTCGTAATGGAAATTAAAACTAAAACTGTGAAGGTAAGTAACATCAGGTCCACAAGAAACCCAGTTTACCTTATTAGGTTGTCCGGAAAGGAATGCGCGTTCGAGCTTAAAAAATTTTATTATAAAAACGAAATTAAACAAGATAAATTCAAAAGACAATCTCCATTAGTATCAATGACTTGTTGTCAACATTTATGCAAAAAATGGATTCCTCTTCTGAAGAACTCGACCGGCTGCGACTCAAAGAAGTTGGACACCCAGAGTTGGACCTTTTTCGCGGTTTGTGAATTTTCTCTCGGCCAGGGAGTTCTGCATCGACCGGAACAGATGGTCGATCGATGGTGCCAGGTCTGATCTGTGTGGCGGATGAGGCAGGACTTTCCAGCCCAATTCCTCAATTTTTTTCTAGAGTGATTTTCGCCACATGTGGATGAGCGTTGTCGTGGATAAATTTTGTCGACGTCGTTTCGACACTTTGAAGACGCAGTGCTGGATCCATGCGGTTCAATTGGTGTTTGCAGATGTCCGCCGTAACCGTCTGACCCGATTCCGGAACTTCAAAGTACATCAAACCTTTGCTATTCCACCAAACACGGAGCATCACCTTTTTGCCGCGTATATCAGGTTTCGGAGTCCGTTTTGGAGGGTCACTGGAGTCCTGTCCTTTTCTCGTTGCGTTATTGGATAGCGCCTTTTTTTTTTTTTTTTTTTTTTTTTTTTTTTTTTTTTTTTTTTTTTTTTTTTTTTTTTTTTTTTTTTTTTTTTTTTTTTTTTTTTTTTTTTTTTTTTTTTTTTTTTTTTTTTTTTTTTTTTTTTTTTTTTTTTTTTTTTTTTTTTTTTTTTTTTTTTTTTTTTTTTTTTTTTTTTTTTTTTTTTTTTTTTTTTTTTTTTTTTTTTTTTTTTTTTTTTTTTTTTTTTTTTAAATAATAGAATAAACCGCTGTTCTTGGAGCGACGAAGAAGAATTCCGGCCATTGCCACTCGTGTTGCCTTGTTTGCGTCGCTCAGCTGGTGCGGCACCCGCTCTTCCCAACTTTTTTCCCCAAAAAAAGCAAAGTAGACATGGACAAAAATATATCAAAAGAAGCACAATAAAAATCTCTTTCTAATAGACAAAACCCGTCCTCCAAATCTTCTATAGTAGGAGAGAAAAAAATGGACAAGTTCAAAAAATTCAACGCGCATTCCTTTCCGGACAACCTAATAAATACCATGCGTTTATTCGGAGGCACGTCTCACGAGAGAATGGGACACGATGGGAGAAGGAATGCTTTAGGAATGAACATTAGGTGCGAGATAGGGCAGTGGGAGCATTGCGCCGTTAATAGCATCGCTATCGCTTCTTTCGGGCTACGAAAGCGATATATTCTTGTGCTTGCGGATAGCACGAACCTGTCTAAGAATGGAATTTGCACTAAATGAACGGGGAAACCAGACCATAATAAAGCGATCACGTCCAAGCTAAATCATGCATTAAAAGGCAGCGCCCGCGTTCAAATTTAATGAGTATGCGGCTCAGGTAGTAATAGCGAGGTAGCAAGAAGCCTATTAGTGAAGAAAAATCGAAGAGAAAACGGCGACCGCACAAATGCTCTAGAAGGAAGTTTCATAACCGAACTAACGGTTGTACCTTGCTTAAAGGTCACTTCCGCCGATCAACCTAACCCCATACCGCCTTTCAACAATGTGCCAAATGGTTCTCCCAGGCGACTGCAGGGGCCTGTGGCACACCTAAAAAGTCAAAAGAAGCAGGTTTTCCCATAGAAGCTGGGCAAATAGGCCCATTGGCACCCCTTAGGGCCATGCAACGCCGAAGCCATGCCCACCCATGTGACGCGCCACCGAGAGTGAACGCTGAACTCCGTGCTTGCGTTGCTAGTTGTCTCGTCGGAATTATTGCGCCGAACAGCTGATGGCTGTCTTGTGCTTTTCACTGTTTTGAGGTTTTTTCGCTATTAATTCGTTTTTGTTTTTGTTCACGCATGCTGTTTTTGTTCACCTCTTCCATTCCCCTTTGCCATCCATTTTGATCAATAATCGCGTGTGCGTTGAATTGTTTGCAATCGGTTTGCTCTGATTCTTCGTTTTTCGTTTGTTTCCAATTTTTTTCCGCTACCATTTTTGCTTATTCAATTAGGTACGTGTTTCAGGTTCATGTTTCATCGATGGTATCGTTTTTGAAGACCTCCATGTGCGCTGTCCCACCTAAGCCCACAGGAAAAAGAAGTCGAGCTGCCAATCTCGAGGTTCGTCTTGGTTTTTTGTTTTTAGTTGTGAGTTGATCTTATTGGAGATATTGTTTTCGCTTTATGAATCCGTGTTGAAACGTGATGTAGAATTCACCTGCAAAGTTGGGAACCGCGAAATTCGCAGAAGAAAGGAAATTTATTTCGATTTCAAGAACCGCAAAAAATTTCTCTGCGAATTCCGCGCTCCCAATGCTTGGACGGATCCTATTACTTCTCATCATCCGATTTCAGGCATTTCTGCGTTTTCTGGGATTTCAGCGCAATCCGAAATGGGGAGAAACTGGTACGTGCAGGCTGATTAGGCCAGGATCACCATGATATAGAGATTTTTGCCTCCTGTTTGCTCACTTAAATCTCTTCAAAATTAGTAAATTAACTTTATGCTTGTCCTCTAACTTTATTCTACATCCTTCGAGGTAGCATGATGCAGTTTGTACGTCAATGGTCCTTTGCTCTCCTGGTCACTCAGTATCGTTAAAAACCGCACGACCGTCGTAAGCGCATTAACTAGAACTATACATAGCAATCCAAGAAATCATTTTCGCACATTTTCTGCTTTTATTTTTTACCTTTACGAAGGACAAATTTCTGGCCAGCTCTTCCTCAGCGACGAATTTAGGATGGGAAACATGCGACCTACCCCCTATTTCTGCACCAAACGGACCTTTCCGCTTTGTAAATCTTTCTACAGGAATAGAAGAGATAGTTGTAGATTTTCAAAACTAACTCGGAGTTAGCTGATACAATCTAGTTCGCTGCAGGTGATGGGGCGTGCCCTCTTGACTGCGTTTAGCCCGCCGCCAAATCATTGTCCACTAATTGCTGAAGTGGGTGAGACACAAGTCTGTATCATTTAGTTCATATCAATCGTTTTCCACTGACTGCTGGTCGCTTAACCCGCTGTTTCAGCAACTGTACTTGCGGCGCGCAGTGTAGCCTCATCATCAGCAGCGAACAAGACTATACATATTAAACGCTAGCCTTCATTATTAGCAACCATTTCAGTGCTGCTCAGGCCAGCCGTCTTGAAGATCTTTGGAAAGAACATCCTAAAGCAACAGTGAGACCAGCTAGTCTCCGGGTGTTGATACTGAACCAGAGAGTGTGCTGTTAAGGTATGCTTGTGTAGTTTTCTCTTCATTTTCATTGCTGGTTTCTTTTTCATGTATCGTATGTCGTAATTCTATTCAGAAGCTGTTTAATCATTATTTAATGTTTTACCTTGCGTATTCTTCTAGATACGAAGATGATGTTTCTCGTTTTGATATGATTTTTGAGCTCATGACGTGATTTTCGCAACTTTTTCTTCGTATTCCCCCATTTCAGATCATAGCGACGAGATTGGAATAGAAATGCGTGCTGCTGCCTCGGAGAAAATGCCCACTGATCCGCGCATCAATTTCACTTGTGAGGTAAGCATAACAATAGTGTTGCCTTACTACTGTTTTCCTATGATTTCACTTCAGGCTGTGTGGAACTCGACGTCATTCGATCGGATGTATCAGGCGTTGAATACACTAGAAAAAGATCCTCACTGCGTTTCTCAGTACATTTTCCATAAGCTCATGGGGCACGATATTGACGAGATTCTTTTCAAAGTAAGTGGTTTTTGGTTACTCTGCGTTTCAAGTGTTTGTGTTGTTGGTCATCTTCAATCGGGCATTAGTGGCTTTGGAACAGAAATAAATCGTCGCTTTTCATGTAGCGTAGTGGGCGAATTTGCCTGGGACGGAGTGAGCAGCGTCGGTGTTATCGCACATGCTGTAAAAGTACCAAAAGAGCCGAAGTTATGAATACCCTGAAGAGTAGGCGGCGGAGTGATGGTTGTTTACTGTATTAATTTGTAGAATAAGGGACTGATTTCTAGCTGGCGCCAGTGATAGTTCTTTCTTTAACTTTCGCTCACAGTTCCGTGAATAAACCTGAAAGCTGAAACTGAGTTCCAAAGATTATTTGATTCTTGGTTTGCTGCCTTATGCATCATTGCTAGGGGTGAGTGGATTTATTGCTTCTTGGTGTTTGTCTTAATTCTGATGACATTAGACATTCATGATAACCGACAACTGGGAGATGAGAGTCCCTGACCAAGGTCCTAGTACTTCCTTTCAGGTTTCTCATCTGCAGCAGTTGCGTGCCATGTCGAATCTTATAGTAACATTTCAAACAGTGTGGTCTAGCCCGGGGTCCTGGATCAGTGGCTGCTGTCGGAAACGAATATGATGCCTGAGAACTGTGATTTTCCGGCATTCGTGCTATAAGCATAGCGGGTCAATTTCGACCCTCCCCCCAAACGTTCTTCTGATACCACCTCTTTCCCCAGCCTACTTTCCACCTTCCTACATTCTCCCATTCTCTTGCCGTTTTTTTGATTCGTTTCGTCGCCTTCCAAACACATCGCGAAGACCCGACACCTCGTCTCTTCTAACTACTTACGGATGTGGATGCTGTAGTAGTACATATTTTCTTTTTTGCTTGCTTTCTGGTTCTTTGACCCTTGCAGACGGGCACGGTCATTCTTCGAATGTTCAATTTTCTCGTGTGTTTGAACTTATTGTAACATGTTGTTGTTATGGTATTACTCATCACAGTATGTATTTCAGTATTCTTTTCAACCTGCTCGTGTATTTCGGAAAGTGTTATGAGGTGTTTATTTTTGGGAGAAGTTATGTTGACGTTAACCTGCTCTTTAACATCGAAATGGAAAACTCGTCCCTTATTCGAACCATCTTAAATCCTCTATTAATTAGTATAATAAAGGATGTTTCGAGAATCGATCTGTATTGTGGAAGAAATGAAAAAATCGGAGTAGATAGAAAGTTCAAAGTATATAAGGCACGTCCCCCGATCACTAATTGAAGTAGTGACGGTAAATGATGAATGACGAGATGGTAACTATCTATCTAGTGAAGAAGGGCAGAAAAGAATCTGACGAAAATACCCTAGATAGGAGCCCATGCCAAACCAACCTTGCACCTCCATACGGCGGAAATACAGTTCCCTTCTAAACTGATGGTATTCATAGCATAGCAGCTTCAACACATTCATCTCACTCTGGATCAAATCTGAATGGGACAGCTATTTTCCAAACAACCATTCTATTCGGTAAGTCGTAAGTAGCCTTTAGAAGGGAACAGTTAGCAATTAATTGCGGTATGGGAAGGAAGGTGGGGTCGCCTTCGTTGCGACTGTACGACGTGATTACCACGTATTTTTGGGCTACAGAAAAGATGAATCTTTCATGCTTGCGCCGGCAACCCCGTTTGTGTAGCTTCCATTACTCCGACGGAGGGAGAATGAAAATATGCGTAGGATAGCCGTAATGGTTCGTCGTACGCAATCACACTACAACGTTTGGCCAATTGCCCACGCCAACGGCGCCGTCGGACACCTCGGAGAACTCGTCCGGGACACGCCTTTTCTCTGTCTCTTGCACGTACACCTCGTTTTGGCAGGGGGTCGTGATAAGGGCATTCCCGATGGTTTCGCTTAGATTTTTCTTCCTCATTCATTAACTTGCTGGCTTATGACTCGTATTTCTACTCCATTACTCTGCATCTGTGGTCCCGGGCTTTGTGCTTTAAGGCCGAAGCAGAGTGATTGCACGAGTTTCCACTTGTTCATATCAGCTGTTTTCCCTTATCACCTCACTCTCACCACTCCACGTGGAGAGAAGCAGCAATGGAACAACCGCACCATCAGGCAACCATTAGAAATGAAGTTGGGTGGCGTGGTCGGCAGGTGGGCGGAGCCGTCGGCTCTTTGCGGGCGGACGCCGCTGTTCCGTCGCATTTTTGGGTTGCGAAACATGCACGTCCACCATCCTCATAGGGGAGCTACTAGGTCCAGAGAGGGCGTGAGAACAACAAATGAACGCGGGCGCTGCCTTAAAGCTACTGTCAGGTTTTGAACCATTTATTTCTTGCTGGATGAAGAGAGAGCGGTCCGGCACGAAGCCGATAAGGGAGGAACCACTGCCAGAAGTTTCACTATGTGATCCATAGGTCTGCCGAGATTGAAGAAAGTGTACCGAATGACTAGATCCCAAGCGAGATTGGAGAAATGACTACAGTGGAGGAGACAAACGGAATGGTGTGGTCATAGCGGCGGCAAACCTCGCAAGGAAAGCGCAAATCTGTCAACTAAATCAGTGGTCGAATCATGGATATGAGAATAGACTCAAAGGGGAGGGGGTACTGGGCCACACTAACTGTTTATGCACCGCAATCCTGCTGCTCCAAGCTAAGGAAGGATCACTTCTGTGTGACCCTAATTGAGACGGATAAGATCGATTCCGGAAGGTTATTATTCACCATAGCTGGTGATCTGATTGGCTATGTGGGAGTGACAGAAGGGGTCTAGAAGGGGTGCAAGGAGGCCAAGGAATAGAAGCAAGGAACCCTACAGGAGATCCTCGACCTGGATGTTGACGGCACAAAAAAGATAGAATTGCTGGTATGGCAACAAAATCGTCTTTTTTATGTCACTGTTGTGTGTATGAGTGTTAATTCCTCGTTAATTTGTTACTCTTGATCTGTGCATGAACTCAGCAACACATGGGTTGAACTTTTGGAGAAGAACACTTTTATGTTACTAGGGGTCCTTTTGGTCAAACAGTACCTGAAGTAAACGGAAGTCAAAAATGGCAGCTCATCAATCCAGTAACAGAAGAGAAAACCACCGATGAGTGCGTGAAGAAGTAGGAATACAGTAATGATCGGTACAGGAACTTTACGTCGTGATTCCGGATCGACATTCTGGAAATAAAAACTGAGCTTGAAGTCTAAATAATTGATAACGTTCGAGCCATCAGCAGTCATACATCACCCAGAAGCTGTCTGTATATTTGTGTTGTGACCGCTACAAAATGGGAACTATATAAGGAGGTGTTCGAAGCGTAAACTCTACTTATTTCACTATGCGCTGCGTGTTGACTAATATGCATCATGCGAAGTTCGACAAAGACGCAAGCGGTGTATTGTGGAAACTGGTAACAAGTGATAAGATCTTATAAGGTGCATCAGAAATGACTGGTAAATGAAAGGATAATAGGATAGGGACTAATGATGGGCGAAGGTAACTGATGGCCACCGGTAAGTAATATTAAAGCAGA